CACCTCAGCCTCCCAAAGGCGCGGGATTACAGGCTGAGCCACCGAGCCCGGCTGGCAAGAACTTTTGACTTAACCACCGTGGCCTCAGAGAAAGAAAGGCCCAGAGGTAGGCATGAGGAGACCCCGGGGCTTACTCCACGCTTGAAGACTTGGACCAATGTGAGCTTTCTGAGACCTGCTGGCCTTGTGGAAAGAACCAGAAAGACCCTGCTGGGTGCTGCTGACAGGTGAGGCTGTGAGATGGCCCAGGAGCTCTGCCTGCCCCGCCTGGGGTGCCCCGGCTCCCACATGGCACCACCAGGCAAGTGAAGCGAGAAGAACACAGAGAGAAGTGGAGAGACGGGGGTGGCGTGACCTGCAGCCACCCCGAGGGCCTTGTGGGGCCTCCAGGGATGGCTGTGCAGAGTGGGTGGCTACAGAGGAACGGGACATGCTCCTGGGTTTACATGGACATCGTGATACTATCTGAAGGGCTTTCTAGCTTGTCCTTTGAGCCGCCGCTCTGGGAAGGTTCAGAGAGAGAGGTCTCAGGAAGGTCAAGCACCACCTGCCTGACTGGGCCAAGATAAGGCGATAAAACGTGTCTTCCTCAGCAGAATTTAGTTGGCACCCCAACATCATTCCCTCTGCCCTTCCCCCACAAACAACCTCCTCTGCAGCCAGCTGCTACCAGGGAAGCCAAGCCTGGTACAGCCAGGGACAGGAGCAGCCCAGGCTGCACTCAGGAGAGCCGAGAAGGGGGGCGACCACGGCCCAGGATGAAAACACTCTGCCCGATGGCCACCCTGACAACAGTCTATGAAGCTCTCAGGGTTGTGGGCTGAGCAGTCCTAGGGCCTGGCCCTCGCTCAGCAGGAAGGGGAGAGGACTGGGTAGGTCTCTGGCCTCAAGATGAACGGGGCAAAGAGCTGTGATCACGGGCTCTCCTGAAATCCCAAGGAAGTGCAGAGCAGTGAGGGGCGTGCGGAGCTCAAGAGAAAGGCGCCAAGGGAGCGAGCTCAGGTGCGGAAGGCCCAGCCAGGCAGAGGGAGGGCGCCCGGGCCAGGACCCACCATGGCTGGGCCCGGCACTCCCACGCGACTGGGCCTTCCGCCTCACTAACCTTGGAGCCGTGGGACGGTTTGGTCTTCTTGGGGTCAGAGAAGGCAGAGAGTGGAATTGTGGGTAACATGGGGTAGTCGGGACTGGGCCTGGACACCGTTTCTGCTCCTTCGGGCATTACCATCACCTAGTGGTAGAGAAGAGACAGGCGTTATCGACGGCGGGTGGGGGCCTGGCTCGAGGCAGCGGGGCTTCCCTCTGGGGGGGAAGGGAGGGCCTGAGCACCACCTTCCCGAAAGAAGCCCAGACACAGCCCCGGCCGGGGGCGGGGTGCCAAGCGCTTGGGTGAAGCAGGCTCAGTGGAGAGCGAAGAGAAGCCCGGGTCCCAGGATGCCTGGGCCCAAGTGGGCCGCGCGGCCTCCAGGCTCCAGGGAGCGGAGCCGGCCCAAGAAGACCGGCGGAGCACACCGAGAAGCACGAGGCAGCTGTGGCCAAAGCCTGAGCCACACGCTGGGCTTAGAGACCAGAGGCACAGTGTGAAGGCAAAGAGCCAGCCAGACACCCGCGGCAGGCGCTGTGCGACAGAGAAGGCTATCTCCAAGGGGTCTCCAGGATGCAACTTCCCCAGGTCTCGCGTGCCCCAGGGTTCAAGCCTTCCTCCATTGAAGTGAGGGAAGCCGACCCAAATAGAGTGCGAGCAGAGAGGCAGAGGCTGAGACCCAGGAGCAGAAGGCCTCGAGTGGTAGCCCAAGGGGCTTCTCTGCAAAAGCAGCCATGCCTGAGCGAGCCTGCGGGGAGGGGCGCTTGCTCCTGCCCTGTCAGGAGGTACAGATGAGGAAGGGCTGGGGGTCCTTCCCGGAAACACCTGCCCGACGCACTGAGGTTCCCAGGATACCTGCTGCAGGGAGAAGCAGCTCGGGGCAGGTCTCAAAATACCGACACCGCAAATTAAGAAACGCCACCACTGAGCAGTTGCTCAGACTGCTGCCAGATACCATGAGACAGAACAAAAGAAAATGGACTTTAAAAACGTGAACTTGGTAGAAGCAGCACCACCTTGCACACCTGCAACGCCTTGACAAGCCAACCCTTTCATCTGAGGACACCGATGTAACAAAGTCACGGGGCCCCTGGGCCATCTGCTCCAAGTTGCTCATCAGAGTCAGACCCCGACACTGGAGCACAGCACCAATGGTACAACTGCCCCAGCTGTGCCTTCACAGCCCCAGGATCCTGACAATACGCCACGGGAGCCCCTCCACGTTCCAGGGCAAGCAACGGCACGCACAAGCCATGGGGGAGCCATGGAAACCCGGCCTATACACAGTTGCGCTCACGGAGGCTCAACCCTGTTCGCGCTCAGGCCTCCTCCTTCTAGCCCCGTGTTAATTCACCTCCTCTCCTTTCAAGTTAGCATGCTGGATGGACTCATTTCAGGATAATGCAGTGGCTCTCTTCTGTCACAAAGACCCTCAGAACAAAGAACTGGCAAAGGAACCAACAGATCTACTTGTGCCTCTGACGAGGTAAGGCGGGGAGGACCCCATGCAAACACAGACCCTCTGCCACAGGGGCAGAGGACAAGATGCAGTCCTGATGGGTGCGGGGCTGGAGCAGCCGAAGTCCCACCCCGATCATTCTTGAGAAAGCATCTGGAGCCTGGCGCGAGGAATCAGCGCTCCACGTGAGTGACCCCAGTGAGACGAGAGGAAAGCAGCTCTCATCAACTCACAGGTTGGCCCCCTCTTCCAGCTCCTTCAGCACCGACAGCCACACAGTGGGGACCGGGGCTACCAGTCCCACCCAGGACACTCAGAGTTTCAGGACGGCTAACACAAGGAGCACGGTACCTGGTCCTAGGAAGTACCTGAGAGGAGCCACCAGTCCATCGAGGCCTCAGGCTGCTCCCAAGGCTGGAGAGTGCTGCTGAACCATCAGCCCAGGGCAAACCCGAAGGCCCAGAAGGTTTCTGCCCAGCCAGCTGGCTTCTTCCAGCAGCCCGCTCCAAGGGGGAACAGCGCCCAGCTCCCGGGACAGAGACCACCCAGGGCGGCTCCTGCAACCTCTCTCTGGAGCCCACTCCCTCCCTCGATCCTGGACTGGTCTGCACAGAATGTGCCGGACCCTCCTTCCTGCTCCCCTGGCTCCTCGCCTCCTCCCGCCTCCTGGTTTTATATGTTTAGATGATGCCCTCAGAGCTTTCATCTCTTCAGAGCAAAGGAAACCACCTCCTGTGAGGAGCACGGTCCTGGCTGCAGCCGAGGAGGCCTGGGGAATGCCATTTCCCCAAGAAATGGGACTATGGCGCCTTCGGGGATGCCCAGAAACACCTGGTGGAGACGTGGAAAATACATGGCTGGAAAGAAGGTGGAGAGACGCAGCCAAGGAGGGTGCTGGGCTGGCACCATCCACGTCCTCAGTCCCCCAGCACTTGGCAGGCAGCCATGTCCACACGAACGAGCCCCAGTGCCTCCCTGCTCTGTGGCCGGCTCCAGCAGCCCTCACGCAACAGATCAGGATCACGCCTGGACCTTCTACTAGGAACGCGGCGGTGGGACACGCTCAAACTTCCTACCCCCCACACACACTACTCCTCTTGTTTCCAAAGAACAACCTTCCTGAGCCCCCACTGTACTCACTGCGGAGGAGGGGCCATACCCGAGGCACAAGACACAACCACAGTGCCCCGATCTCACTCGGGGGTGGGCCTGTCTCCCACACTGCTCACACACACACAAGACACATACTACACACATGTGCCACACCCATCCCACACGTGACACCCTATACACAGCCCCACACATGACACACACATACCACACTCTCCACCTATATACATACACACGCGACATATACCACACCCTCACACATTACACGACACAATCACACATCACACCTACTGCATGACATACACCACATATGTGCACACTACACACATGTGATGCACACATCACACCCATGCACCACACACCCACCGTATGTGACACATACCCCACATAACACACACACATCCACTACTTACGTACTTATACACCACACACACACACCATACATACATATGCCACTCACACACACCACATGCACACACATCCCCCACCCAGCCTTGGTCCGCTCTATCGCAGGCATAGGCTGGCATCCTGGCAAACACTCTGACCCTGGGTCGATAAAGGCGGCTTTGCTGTACTGTGACCACGGCTCAGCCTGCACATCCCTCCACATGACCCTCTGGCCTGAGCCATACGCCCTGTCCCCCTCCACAGCCACTATCAGCACCCACACCCCACCCCATCTCCAAGAGCCCAGTGGGGCAATCTGTCCCCACGGGTGTCCACAGGGCTCCACTCAGGCCACCACACAGGGATCTCAGCCACACAACTCACTGAAGAGCCCTAGTTCTGAGGGCTGATGCTGTCATCTGGCCTCACAAGGACAAAGGTGGCGGGCAGCATCACCATCGGAGCCCTCTGGGAGCCCCTGTGCAGCCCTGCCCAGTTGTTACGAGCCGGCTCCAGGCCGGGCCACGCGGTCAGACCGGCCTCGCACCCATTCCTTCCCCGACACTGCCTGTGGAAGGTGCCAATTACCCACAGCCACCCAGGAAGCGACGGATGGCCAGCGACGAGTCATCCACGGCCGCCACACCCTGCCCGGTCTGCAGAGCTCCCAGGACATCACCGGTGCCACCTATGCCTCGGGTCTCAGGCCCAGTGGTGACACCTCCCCGCACAGGGAGCCTCGAAAGAGCAGCCGCAGCCCGCAAGGCAAGGCAGCCATGGGGCTGGGTGGGGCGGGCCCCCGCTAGGGCACACTCACCCCGCCAGCCCGCAGGAGCTTGTACCGGAACTCCGTGGTGGGGTTGTTGAAGGTGAGCTTCTCGCAGCGCAGGTGGTTCACAGGTGGGTTGCCCTCCAGGTTCAGGAACAAGTCGTAGGTAAAGCACACCTTCCGGGGCTCCTCCTGGACAAAGAAAGCAAGGAAGCCATGTCAGAGGGGAGGGACAGTGGCTGCAGCCACAGCAGGGACACAGCTCCCGGCCGCCCGCCCTGGCCCTGTCTTCTCCTTCCCCTGGGAGCCTCATCGGCTTCTTTCTCAGTGTGCCTCCTTCTCTTACTCCAAATAAATCAACTTATTTGCAGCGGATGGGGCAAGGGAGGCCTCTCGACAGAAACAAAGCTCGTTGACAACAATGTTCTTGAACAGTTACAAGAAGCGTTCCTGGCTGGGTGTAGTGGCTCAGGTCTGCAATCCTAGCACTCTGGGAGGCTGAGGCGAGAGGACTGCCTGAACTCAGGGGTTTGAGACCAGCCTGAGCAACTTGGCAAGACCTTGTCTCTACAATAAATCAAAAAATTAACCGGGTATGGTGGCATGCACCTGTAGTTTTAGCTACTTGGAAGGCTGGGGTGGAAGGATCGCCTAGGCCCAGCAGGTCAAGGCTGCAGTCGCCATGAGCATGCCACTGCCCTCCAGCCTGGGTGACAGAGTGCAACTCCAACTAATAAAAGCATTTCTGCTGTTGGTACAGATGGCTTGGGTGCGGGCATCCCCCTTCAACCTTATAGCACCCACTGGGGAAACCACGGTTCAAAGACACACAAGAAACAAGTGGCAGGGCTGACACCTACACCCTGTCTCTGATCTGACCCCTCAACTCAGTCTCCTTGCCAGCAAGGGCCAAGTCCGGCAGAAAGCCTGAGATCAGACTCAGAGAACGGGGACCAGAGCCAGAAGGAGTTGTGGGCAGAGCATCGGGGAACAGAGACCTGAGACGACCACCCCGCTTCCAGGAGGCTCCGTCCACACACACGCCGTCCCATGCCCTTGCCACCCACAAGACAGAGGCATGTGCTCTGGTTACTGCTCCATAGTGCAGATGGTGCCTGGTGTGGGACCGACACTTGATGGGTTTGCGAGACATGTTGCATGAGCTCAGGGGAACCACCATAAAAAAGGTGTGACAGAGGGTGTGAGGGAAGGGAGTGTGTGCATTGCTCTCTCCCAGGCCTGGAGGGGCCCAGCAACGTGTATACAGGCACCATACATGTGACAAAGCAAGGCAGTTTCACTGACTTTCTCTTAGAGTCCCACCCCATCCCCAATGATGTAAGTCTCGGGCCCCACGAGATGGAGGCGTGAAGCTAGAGCAGGGACCTCAGGCTGAGAAGAAAAGCAGAATGACAGGGGAGTGTGGGAGAATCATACCGCAACAAGCCAAGTGTCACGCTGGAGAACTGAAGTTCTAATAGCAACAATGGACACACTTACATTTATGGACTTGCTCTTGTTGGACAAGGGTGCTAAGACCACTTGCTGGGGGCCAAACAGTCTTCAACAAATGGTGCTGGGATAACTGGACATGCACACGCAAGAAAAACAAAAACAAAACAAAAATGAAGGCAGATCGCTCACCTCACACCTCAACAGTTCAAAATGGAACAGACCGACACATAAGAGCTAAAAGTATAAAACTCTCAGAAGAAAACATGGGTTAAGCCGGCTCGGTAGCTCAGCCTGTCATCCCGCGCTTTGGGAGGCTGAGTTGAGTGAATTGCCTGAGCCCGCGGGTTCGAGACCTGCCTGGACAACTTGGCGAGACCTCATCTCTACAATAAATCAAAAATTAGCCGGGTGTGGTAGCGCGCGCCTGTAGTTCCAGCTACTCGGAAGGCTGAGGCGGAAGGATCGCCAGAGCCCAGCAGGTCGAGGCTGTGGTGGCTGAGAGTGGCCACTGCACTCCAGTCTGGACGACAGAGTGAGACTCCAACTCAAAAAAAAAAAAGAAAAAAAAAGAAAACATGGGTTATATATATCATGACGCTGGATTAGGCAATCGCTTCTTATACATTACACAAAAACACAGGCGGCTAAAGACAAATAAACTAAACTTCATCAAAGTTAAGCACTTTTGTCTGTAAAGGACACCATCGAGGGAGAAGGCAACTCACAGATGAGAGAACACGTTTGTAAATCATCAATCTGACAGGGATTTAGCATGCAGGATATATGAAAACTTCTTACAAGTTAACAATAAAAAGACAAATAACACAACTAAAACAAGGGGAAAGGACTTGAATAGACATTTCTCCAAAGAAGAGTTCCAGACGGCCAATAAGCATCTGAAAAGATGCTCACTATCATAGCCATCAGGGAAATGCATACCAAAACCACAGTGAGATCCTTCTTTACATACATTAGGATGACTACTATTAAACACAAACAAAAGAAGTGCTGGCAAGGATATGGAGAAATGAGAACCCTCGTGCATTACTGGAGGGAATGTAAAATAACGCAAGCCATTCTGGAAGACTGTCTGCCAGTTAATGCTAAATACACAGGAACTAAATGACCTCTATACCACTCCCAGACACGTGCCCAAGAGAAATGAAAACGTGTGTTCACTCAAAACTCGTACACCTATGTCCATTAGCAGTGCACTCACAGGAGTCAGAAAGAGGAAACAACACAAATGTCCATGGATAGACGTGGAGGTAACAAAGTGTGGTCCATCCACTCATGGAATATGACTCGGCCATGAAAAGGAAGGAGGCTCTGATACATGCCATGACGTGGGTAGACTGCAAAAATATCAGCTCAGTAAGAGACCCAGACACAAAAGGCCACAAATTACTAGACTCCATCATATGAAATGTTCACAGCAGACAAATTCACAGAGACAGAAAGTGGATCTCTAGTTGCCAGCGGCTGAGGGAGGGGCCTATAGTAAATGACTGCTAACAGGTACGGGGCTTCCTTGGAAGGTGATCAAAATACTCTGGAATTAGAAAATTGTGACAATTGCACAACATTGTCAATATATTAAAACCACCAAATCTGCACACTCTAAAATGGCGAATTTTACAGTATGTGAATTACATCTCAATTTGTTAAAATGCTACCCATTGGGAGAGTTTAAAAGATTAGGAGTATGGGTATCTGGTGAAGCGTCTGAGGAGGAGCACTGTGCTAGGAGATTCAAAGGAGACTTTGCACGAGCTCAGTAAGAGTTAGAGAGGAAGGTGGAACTTGGATCCCAGCAGTTTCTGTGCCCCCTTTATTTCCAGTCCCTTCCCCCAACAGTCCAAGCTGTCCCAAGCTCGCAGGCATGTAGCTCCATCCTCAGACCCAGGGAGAGCAGGGCAGTGTCCTTTCTTAGCCTCCTGCAGTGTCTGGATGGTTCAAATGCAGCCAAGCTCAGGAGCTGGCAGCAATGTGTCCCTCTCAACACAGGCAGCAGTGGTGGCTTCTGCAGTCACCCAGGAGGTCCGTGGTGGGCTGCAAGCAACTCTGTGCCCCAGTGCACATGTCTTGAGAAGCAGCCTGCAGAATTGCGAGTCCGGTGAAGGCAGACAAGTGAACGGGCCTTCCCGATCCCAGGCCAGTGCTGTCCTGTCTAGTGGGAGAGGCCCTGACCTCAGCAGAGTGGGCTTTCATCCCAGCCCCAGGGGAGGAATCATGATCTGTTTAAGCCAGACTTAGAGTCTCCTTTCCTTGTCTGAGGTACACACGGGATGGAGGTTTGGGTGAGGAGATGAAGGGAGGACGGCTTGGGGAGGACTTCCCTTTCCACATCATACACAAAACTGCCAGGAGAAAGCTGCTCACCCACTCTCCTCTGGAGGGGCAGCCCGGAGATCCTCCAGGGAGCAAGCCCTGGCCCCTCATGCCTTCATGTCCTGACAAAAAACAGCCCCCATACTAAGCCCTGCCACACAACTGTTCCAGGCAGCAGAATGCAGCCCTGACAGGCCAGGACATCACCAAGTCCCCACACTTCCTCTAGAAAGCTCTCCGTGGGCCCCCAAAGCAGCCAGGTGCCCCTCCTCTTATCGAGGCATGTGGCCCAGGAAGCACGGGTCCTCACCAAGCTGGGAGCCCCCAGGGGTGGGAACTCCTCTCCTGTCCTCCCACCCATGCATGGCTGGACCAGGGGAGGTGCTCCACATTAGCCAAGTGAAGCACTACCATGGATTGAGGCAGGGGCCTAATCCAGTAGCACATGTGGGGAAGGGAGCTAGCAGAGCTTCCTGGAGGTGAAGACGGACCTGAAAGGTGGCTAGGAGTCAGTCAGGTCAAGAAGGGTAGGGAGGGCCGGGGCCCCTGGTTGGATCAGCCAGGAGCATGCACGGCCTAATGACGGAAACAGTGGCACAGACACAGTATCCTCACCAGGATCCCCAGACTACAATTCGGCCGAAGCTGGAAGAGGAGGATGAAGAGGTGGCAGCAGCCAGCCCTAGGGAGAAGGGCTTCCAGTGTAAGGGGAATGGCCAAAGCCCAGTCTCGGGAAGCCACACCCTCCGGTCTGCAGCCCACAGGGTGGACATTGGCTGCCACAGCTGGTTGCAGAGCTGACTTAAACCAGGTAGGTGAAGGGGATGGGCGGGAGGAGCCAAGCCCTGTCTCGCCTCTCCTACAGGAACATCACTAGGTAAACTCAGAGAAGGGAAGGGGTCATGACCCGGACAGACTGTCCCAGCTGAGCCATGGGGATGGGAGAACATCCTGCTCTGAAACTCCTCCGCTGACCGTCACCTCGGTCAACGCTACTAACAGGCACAGACAGCAAGTCTGCACCTCCAGATCCAGGTACTGCCTGGCAGGGAACAGACAAGTCAGAGGGTGGCCCTGAACACCACCACGGGGGCAAAGGTAGAAGCCACATGGAACCAAACTCTGCAGCACAAATGGCCCAGATACTTCAGCAAGCAAATCGCAAAGAGAAAGAATAAACGAGTGAAAAGGGGGAGGGAGAATCTCTGGTTTAAGAGGGACAGAAGAAACGAGACAATGAGGCCTGTAATGCAGAGCTTATGGAGAGCCTGACCCAAACAGAAATAAAAACAAGACTAAACACTGAATTACTGAGGAAGCGGGGACTATTAATTACAAATTAATATGAGGGGGGACTCAAAAAAAACCTGAATTATCTTTTGGAGGGTGGGTCCCTTGTAGTTCAC